TATTTTTATAAATAAAAAAATAAAAATAAAATATAAATAATGTGTTAATTTTATTAAAATTTAAATAAAAAAATCCTACAAAACACTAATAAGTGCTTTTAAAATTTATAATGAAATAGATAAAATATTAATTTTTAAAAAATTATAATATTTTTCATAAATAATAATATTTGATGTAGTTACCACTTTTGAAATATAGAAAGACTTTTCACCAACTATACAAACATAACTTTTTGGAATCTAGGACTTCCCACCAACTGTACAAACATAGCCTAAAGCTAGCGTGGCAAAACTGTTGAGTGTTGGTGGGAGCAATGTTTTTGGTCTCTGCCTAGCCCAATCGATCGAACTGGTTCAATCGAACTCGAGCTTAAAAACAGGCCAGTTGCATACCTCAGCCTGCTTTGTCAAACAACTCGTTTTGACCTGCTAAAACTCACCCCACCCGCTAGGCTCGTTGGATCCATGTAGCCCGCTCCGATTGATCGAGCCGAATTCTATCCATCTCTTATTCTCTTTTAACTTTTTTTTTTTTTAAGTTTTAATGCATCATACCCATTTTATCCCATCTTTTTTAATGTTATTACAATAGAAACCTAGAAGGCTAGAATAGAACAACCATCGACCATTGACGAGCTCCAAATCTTAAGTCTTAGACACTTTGCCACCTACGTCAAGGGCTCCATAGCTCACCGTCCAGCCCTTCACCGCTTACCTTCAACTCCTTCCTCCACTAGACAAAAGCAACAAAGCAAAACACCTCCGTTGACGGCTCCACAGCTCACCATCTAGCCTTTCACCACCCACCTTCGACTCCTTCCTCCACTGGACAAAAGTAGGAAAGCAAAACAAAACAAAACAAAATAAAGAAATCATCCTCATTTGCCTCACTCCTTCATTAATTACCTCCTTCTCCTTCATCAAATAGAAGCAATAAAGAAAAACAAAAATTACAAAACAGATCGTCTTCCAAAAGCACCGACAAAATAGATTTTACATTTATCTTATCTTATTTGGTGCTTCTCTTATTCTCATGTTTAAATTTTAAAAATTATATGTATTTAATTAAATTTATTATTTTAAATTACTTAAATAATAATTTTTAAATTGATCTTATGATAATTATTTTTTAAAAATAAAATAAAAGTAATATATAAAAATAAAATCTAATAAAAACATCAAAAAAATATGTTTTTTTAATTGACTGATTGGACCAGTCAATGAATGGTTCAACCAGTTGAACCAAATTTAATAACCAAAACGAGTCAACCACTAGGACAAGCACAAAAACATTGGGTGGGAGAGTGCAATGGCCGAGTGCGCCTAGCACTGCTCATGAATCTTCTCCAGCCTTGCATCCTCTCGAACTCTCTTTTCTGCTGAATCTCTTCTCCTCTGCCGAAAAAAAAAAGAAGAAACCTACAAAATAAAAAAAACTTGAGATATTGGGTCCCCTCCATCGGACTCCAATTATTCAACATCTTCGATTCTCCCATTATCTGTGTCACCTATTCTCTCCTTTCGATCATCTCCTAATAAAAGGGGATTCGGACAAAGGAGTGGACCGGGGAACAGGTCTCGGGATTCCGTTTCTTCCTCTGTTCCGGATCTTCTCTCTGGAATTTTATTGATTTTTGGTTTTTGGAGGACACTCTGGGGGGCTTTTTCAACTTGCTTTTTTTGGAGGATTTTCTGAGGAGGATTTTTCTGGGATGTTTTCTGGACGGCTGTTTGGGAGAGCCCTTTTCGGGCAGATTTTCTCGGCTGAGTGTTTCCTGGAGTTTTTCTGGACTGCTTTTTCGGGCAATGCAAGCTGATACAGAACATGACCCTTTATCATCATCAAAATCTACGTCCAAGAAAACCAAGAAGAGGAAGAGAGAAAAGCAGCATAAAGAAGCAGGAGAAGAGGAACCGGCGAAAGCAGTGGAAATCATCAAAGCTAAAGTCCTAGTCATCCCCGAAGATTCCAACAAGATTCCTCCGATAATTTCCTATTTCTCATCTGGGTACGACCCCTGCAAGAACAGGAACAGCCTACCGAGTGTCAAGGTTTTCAGGAACAAGTCTGAGAGAAAGGCTAACAGGCTGCAGGTTGTGGTCAAACCGAATGATTCAAATATGGAGTTTGCGGGGACCAATTATTCTGGTGAGGCAGCCGTTGCTCAGCTGTGCAGCTAATCACTTGGTGTTCTTGATAAGGAGACGCAGACTCTGAAGATCATTGCCATTGCTGCTAATAAGGTAAATTGTCAAAGACTCCATCTTGATGGTTTATCTTATGTTGGGTCCCTGAGTTGGTGGAAGGTTTCTATATTTACATTTCATGAAACATTTACCTTCGCAGTAGAGGGTTTGAATTGAAAATTTTGCCCATTACATAAGTTATGGGGTTTTTTTCTCTTGTGTAATTGTTAGCTTTGATTTCTTTATCCTGTCTTCCACTGTTGAAATGGAAAAGGAAGGGGTTAAGATCAATAATTGCAATTAGTTCTATATTTTGATTGGATGAGATATTTCTAGTGATGGTTATATGTGGCTTCTCTGATTTTTTTTTAAGCAGGTTTTTAGATAGGTACCAAAAGTCAGGACATTGGATTGCACTGACAAGAATGCCTCTAATTCAGCAGAACTGTCAAGAGCAGAGAAAGAAGATAAAATGAATGAGCTTACCAGTCGTTATGGAAGCAAGAAGTCTATAAAGCAGGTTTGCCTTCTCATTTCCCTTAGAGGGATGTATAAATCTTGAAATTATTTTGAATAAAGGTCTTCATAGTTATTTCACAAGTCTCCATGCATCTATAAGCAAGTGGTAGTATAATTATTCTGGATTAGTATATTTCCAGTAAAATAAATTGCCTATATTGAAGTTTTCTTGTTTATGGATCAACATGTTTACTAATGTAAACACAATCATTTTCACGATGTTAAGATTGTTTTTCCATGAATTACAATATTTGTGCTTACCAATACTGATTTGAAGATGTCTGATGGTTAATTTTTAGCTTTAAAGCATGGTAAGTTTTTTTCTTTTTCTTATAAAGTTTGCAAAATAATTTGCAACTTATTGGTTATGTTGTTGAGTGCAACAACAGTTACTTACCCAAACTGGAAAGAGAGATTGGATACTTTGCAGGGTCTCTGATATACTGTCATTTGAGGGGATTTTTCTACTCATTAAGCCCTCATTTAACAGTTTCTAATGCTTTATAGACCATGTTGTTTAAATTTAAGGTTTTAAGTTTGAACACTCAATAGAATTGAATGAAGTTGAGCGCAGCAATTTGAATATGATTTTTTTGATTTTCTGAATTTTATAATTTAATGTTGCAGGGCAAGATAAGGAAAGAGTTGAACAAGTTAATCCTGCATCACAGAGGAAGTTTCCATTGACAAAGTGGTTCTAGAAAGTACCAGTGCACATGTTTCTCGTAATATCCCACCTCATGACTTGTCTGCTGCTACACCCCAGGAGGCTTATCCACTTGACAAGATCATCCTTAGAGGAGAATGGGAATTCCTTGAAGACATCTATAAGCTTTTGCAAGAAGGTGCAGAAGTAGCAGCTAACACAGATCCAACTTTTGTCAGCAACAGACTCCATAAGTTGCAGGATATTCAGATAAAGATGTCAAAAAATCTTAAATTCTTTTTGCTTGCTAAGTACTGATACATAGAAGAAAAGGTTTTATTATTATGTTAGGATAGAAAAAGGCAAAATTACTATGAATATTTAAGCCACTGAGAATTTACTCACTAAAGGCCATGAGAGAGAAAGTACCTGTTTTATCCAAAATTAGTACAAAGCAGACATTGGAATTACTTAAATTGGTTATCAATGAAAAATATTATGCACTTATATAATTTTTGATATTGAGCATCCATGCTCTTGGTTTGGCCATACAAGATTTGTTAGTAACTGCTCACAATGTGATTTCACCTTTCTGCTTAGGCATTTTTATGTTTCCTAGTAGTTTTTCTTACCCATTTTATTTGCTCAATATGGACACGAACTCCAATTTCTTCTCTCTCCAAATCAGTTTTGCATCATCTACTACCTCTCTCTCTTTGCCATGTATTTAGCATTTTGTAGGACGAGGTGGAAAAGAATAAACTTTGCTGTGTTTTCTCGTTCATTAATCATCTGATAAAATTTAATGATCAGTTTTCCATGGATCGATTCTCTTCAGCAAAGAACCATAAAATCCCACCCATTCTTGTCTGAAAGTTTGTGACCTTGTTTGCTGATTTAGAGTCGAAAAGGCTAACAGCTGCTCAAATTAATCTTCTCACCAGTTATATCTTGGTGCTCACTTTACATGCTGATGAATTCCGGACTGACCCATCAGATGTAGCAAAAGATCTACGAACTAGTCCAGTAGACTTGAGATGACATTTTGAGAACTTGGGGTGCAAATTCTCTCACGAGAAAGGCGTATTATTGGCTATCCTGCCTGTTCCTATCCAATTACCGTTCGCTGAGAAGCGGAGGAGAAGACGTTGATTACCTACTGTGGTTGCTTATCCTTTTTGGGGTGGGGCTCCAAGACAACTTTGCCTTATAATGCTTTCCTCCAAACCACCTTAACTATTATATTATTTACACTTGATATCTCTATTGGGATGAATTTCTAAAGCAATGATTATTACTGTTTTTTGATATTTTGTTTACTTGAGATGCGTCATCTTTCTAGTTGTACATTTTTGCAAGAAACTGTTTTTGCATTATCTTTATGTTGATTATACCATTATTCTTTGTATCATAACAAAATCTTTCCAAAATCTCTTGATACCTTCCCTTTAGGCACTAAGGTAATGTGTCATATTGCAAAAAATTACTGTGGCTGTGGACTTGATGTGTCTTGTGCAATGAGCGATTTAGAATATAGCTCATAAAGATCAATTCCTGCTTAAACCTTGCTTGGTTTGCAGGTTGATACGAAGATACAATTAGTAATGAGAAAACTACCCATCATCAATCTCAAAGCAACCCATGCGCTGCAAAGTATGTAAACCAGCCTGTTATGTGTCTGGCGAGATCCGAAATTTTATGTCCTGGAAAAGAATTTATCATTAAATCTTGGGAAAATGATTAAGGAGAATTTTTTTAATCATTTTTAATGTAATTTTACATATTATTTAAATAATTAATTTTTTTTATTTATTTAAAATTTATAATATTAAGTATATTCACTCATTTCATTTCATGATATTGAAATTTGTATAAAATAATGGTA